CAGTGTTTATCCATTACATTTCTTTCCGTAAGTAAATCGTCCTATCAACGGCAATTTTTGATTTCGGATAAACGTTAAGAACACGGAATTTTTTCGTAGGTGTTCGAGATGAAATATATACGAAAATTAACTCTCAGCACCGACGGTCTGGCACGGGATAGCGAAATGAGTGGGTAGGAATAAATATTTCGCGAAAATCTTCTCCTCCTCGTATCTTCCTCCTCCGACGCAATTGCATTCCCGCGCTCGCAGTTTACACGAGTACACAACGTACGTGTATTATAACAATATGCCCACGTCGTGACCCTGCGCGGTTTAAATATACGTGATACCATGAAACCGGTTAGGTCACACGCGTGGTATATGTCATTTCGAGAGAAGAGAAAAAAAATAATAACAAAGAAAAAACCAGTAAAACGTGGATACGTGCAGGCGCGGACATATATGCTAATATGTAATTTTTTTTTTTCACTCGTGTTGTGGAAGACCGCCGACCACTGCACGGCGAACGCGGCTCGTACAGATCGTAAGAACAGGGTCCACAAGCATATTAAAATATTGAAGTCGTACGAAACCGATTTCGACTGGGAAGATCGCTGCTTTTTCGATCGGTCGTAACGTCTTCTCATACTCCGTCGATGAACGCTAAAAACTGTATCTCGACGGACAAAGCCGTCAACAACAGCGTAAACGGTTTCACCGGATCTCCGCGAAAAAATGGTTATTATTATTGAAATACGTACATTCTTATTTTTTACAGAAATTAAAATTATTTAAATGAATTGTTGCTATCGTAAATACACGGAATATAGTCAATAATTACTTCATAATAATACACTAATCGTCCGAGAAAAAACTGAACGTATATTACAAAATAATGCCTAAATTAAAACCTGTAAGACTATTTACATTTAATTACATTTAATATTTCTCCGCGGAGTGCCTGAGACTTGAGAGTATACTTGGTGTACCCGTGTGAATTTTTAAAATAATGTTAAGAGTACACAGCGAATATGTGTATATGTAGTATAACCTATGGGAGCACATCTGTGTATAGTAGGCACTCGTGTTATGTTATCATCCATTATAAACATTAGTGTTTATAATCAACGATGTTAAGTTAAATAACCGAACATGAAAATGATTAATATAATTCCGATGGATTCGACTTGATAACTTTTGGCGAGAGCACTTGGCGACATCGATAATGCGCAACAATATATCGTGGTTATCAATTCGAACTGAGCGTCTGTAACAGTACAGTTTCATGAATTCATATTAAAACGCTATGTAGACGGTGCTCGGCGAGACCGTTGAAAAAACAATTTTAAACTTTTGTGGTTTATATATAACGGCACCAATACAATGTATATAGTGCACGCACCATGTGTTTTCCGAGACGTATTTCGTCTTTGAATTTGCGCAAACAGTGGCGAAACTTTTCGGCGACACTTTTGTGGGATATTCGCTGAACATAAAGTAGCATGATATTAAAATAAAATAATATTAAATACCGGCCGCGGAATCAAAAATTTATATATCCTTTCGCTGGCGAATACAAATGAGCTCGAGCGTGCACGGTCTTACTCAGATTTTGTTCTGTACGTTATTTACATATTATTACGGTATATATTACGAATGCGTTTTACGACCGTAACTACGTTTCAGGTAGTCGCGCGTTAAAACCTGCTCAATTATTATACTTGATATGTTCACAGCTCAGCCTCTATGTAATATATTTATTACAGTTATTTCGGTGCATATGTAAATAACTAATAAGTTCATGCGGTGTTTCATAACGGAGATTTTAACTGGAAATTAAAAAAAAAAAATCAACGAAAACAGTATAAAAAGTATAATATTATTGTTTGAAGTGGTACGTTGCACTTCCGCGAACGATGTCATTATAATACAATCATATATAGGTATGCCTATTATATGTAGTATATATAATAATTTATTGTATTTTTATTAGAAATATAATCATACTTTTCCATTAAACAAGTTGTAAAAACCAGTCGGCGCAAACGAAAGTATACCCTAATGAAAACATCGTGACGTATTACTTTAGTACAACGCTATTTTTATACAACAATATAGCGGTTATATATTGTTTTGTTTGTGTTACGGGTATATTGTTCGATAAAAATGTAAACTTGCTTGATTGCATCATTATAGAATAATGTGAAAAGCAATAGTCAATTATTATAATATTATTAGGGTACGGATAAAAATCGAATACGTGTAAAACAAAAAACACCACGTACGGGTAGCAAGATATTGTATAAAAATATAACAATAAAAGTCATGCCCGTTATCCTCCTGCAGAGATATTTTGAAGCTATTTAAATAATTCAAGTACAATAAAAAATTATGAGTATTGTGAATTTAAAAAAAAAAAAAAAATACAAACAAATATTTGATATTTTTACACGCACAAGAGACGAACGGTCAGTAGAAACTACAAATGTGTTCGTTAAAATGCATTTGTACAGTCAAAAATTATGAAATTCAATTTATTAACGTTAAAGAGAGAAATTAGTGAAATCGTAAAGATTACTCGTCTACTCGCGAGGTCTCTGATTCGGCACTGTGTATAAAATAATTTACTCGAGTCGTTCGTTTCTTCCGACTAGCCGAAAAACTCGAAAAAAAACCTCCGATAAACATCACATGCCAAATCATTACTACAACATTCACGTGTACATGCGATTGTAATATAAAAGTATATTTTAGATATGCTCATGTCTTCAGAATAAGAGTCACACGATGATATACAGAGGGATTTTTAATGCTGTGACTATGCATTTCTTCAAATTATGATTTATTGGATACGTACGCGTACCGTATATAAGTCTATATTTTTCATTACATAGACTTGTTTAAATTGTTTAGGAGTAATAATATTCTGTGGCTTAACTTTTCCAACAGGAACATCATTGTGTTTTAACGCTACAAATAATTATTTAGTTATATTTTTTGAGACGTTCAACGCACCGAAGTCAATATTTGGACCGATACTGTTTTCGAAAAGGCACGCTAAAAAAAAAAAAATTATTCGGTATGATATTGTACGTTGACCGCCTGGCAGGAGTCATTAGAAAAACGTCTAGAAAGAACGCAGGACGGACGGCGTCGATAGTGAAAACCGTAGAAACAGTAACGCGGTGACAACACGGCTACAATATATTAACAACGTGTACCATATCGTATTTATAAGCGTACATAAGTAGGCACTGAGTGAATTTTTTTTTTTTTTTTTTTGGAATATTTCTATTTTATCTTTATTTACGTCCACGACAATTAACCTACATTATGCGTTTATAATACACCCATTCCGTACACATTATTATCGTTATCGTTACAGGTATTATAATGTATTATACACATCGGTGTGATAAATTGTGCGTGTTCGTAATGTTTTTTTAATGACATATCATGTACACGCGCTGTTGTACACGAATCGCTCGCGTACGCATCACGTACGAACCACAATGAATACACCGAGCCGCGGTACTCGGTCGGCGATCGGAGTTGAGAAAACATTCGTCTCGATAACCGTCGACGTGCCGAAACGGGATCGTACAGGTGTCGGTCGTTAGATTAGCGGTACAAATATACCGTGGGCATTACGAGAGTCCACATTTTAGGGTAGCAAAGTTTATTTTTAGAAAGTGAAAAAATAATTTTTTTACAGGTTTAAAATGATATACTATCTAATCATCCATATTGGAATTATCACAGAATATAATTATTTTAGATACAATCACAACAATAAAGTCTATGCACAGACTAGAATAATAAACATTTTTAAAATCTATGACTTTTTTTGGGGTAACAAAAAGATACCCTTGCTACACCACAAACATTTCTGGGGTAGCAAAGATATCCCTCGATACCCTTAATGACGCCTATGCCCCATACCGTTCACATCTATTATCTTGACCACAGCGGATCGCTTCACAATTGTTCCACGCAAAGTTGCAAACGTATTTAACATGGATGTCTTTAGTGTGTTCAATTTCACGGTGCTGCCTGCACTCTCAGAAGCATATATTTTATGCGGTTTCGACTGTGCCCAGTAACCAGTAACCACGTGTCCAGTAGCTTTTATTACAACTCGAGTTACTGTTGTTTTTAAACCATTCTCGAACAGTCCAAACGTATTTTACCCACTGGGGATTACATGAATCAATTTCTAACTTAATATTAAAAGTGCGTATCAACTAGTACGTAATCTTGAATTGAAAAAAATTATAAAATACCAGCATGCCGCCTGACTTGAATACACTAACCTATACCTATTAGGTATATAATTTCCAGGATACCTATTATGACCACATAATTTCGTCTGGGGTTTTTTTTCTTACCGTAATTATACGCTTGTATTTCATAATAATAATAATAATAATATTACCTTCGGCCCGGTTGAACGGGTGCACGTGATAATGACACGTCATTATGTGTATGTATATAATGTTATGCTACATCACCCGGACATTAAAATAATATACAGGCTTCCGATTAATTTCGTTTTCGATGGCTAACCCTGGGGAAAACGCACGTGATGTTCCTAATATTTTAATTGCTTATACTAGCAGTATAGTACTCACACTACCGGTAATAATGTAAACCACGTCGGACAAAATTATAATTAAAATATATATGTATAATAAACGTAAATATTTACGAGTACAAACATTTTATTTGTCAAGTTAAGTACTTGAACTTGATTCAAAAAATTTTACGAAAACGAATACTCGTTTACATCTAGATATTTGGTGGGGGAGGGCACCGCCGAACGAAAATCGGTCGTGAGAGCGGTTTGTTTTCTTTTGAAACAGAGTATAGTTAAATATTTTTATGTGTTAAGTATAAAAACACACGATTAGTTTACGTTTTAACTAATATCTCAATTTCATAAAATATGTGACCGGTGACGTTTCTGCAATCATCGATTCATATGTGTTTCGGGTAATATTGATTTGGAAAATATCTACCTATTTACCCGTCTCCCGAAGAATTTAAGTTTCTTTTTTCTCACTGGACTTTCAAGTTAGTAGAGAAAACCACTACGGGATTGTATCTTTCTTCGTGTTTCCAATAAGAACTGGAGGACATCGCTTTCGTGCAAGTCATGAGTTTTGAGCACCGGTCGAAATACACGAAATACATACCTGCAACAGATATAACAAATTCGTTCATTTTACATTGTCATAATATTTACATGTTTACTTACAAATAAAATAATAATGTACAAGCATGGTTTAGTTACTATTACCGAAGTGTTATTGTAGTGAAAACAATTATCAAAATAATATTTTCCTATTTTATAAAATGTTTATAGTTGTTTTGTTTCAGCTCTATTATAGTACGTATTTTTAAATCATTATTACCACTGCCGCTTAGCGATTATGTTTATAAATAATTAATAAAACTGCAATATCTTTATAAAATAATCAGTTTCTTTACCACTTGAGTTTTAAACATTTACCGCATGTTTCAAGTAAACTTTTATTGAAGTCCAGATTTATATACAATAAAAAATTATAAAATAAGCAGATTTATATCATAAATTTGCAAAAAAACATATGTGTTTAAGGGTACAATACTATTCATATTAAATTATAAGCATGAGGTAATAAAAATCGCTTTCTATTTTTCGAATTAAAAACTCCTATGATTATCTCATAGCATACATTCGTATTTGGAAAAAACTTCTTTCCACGTTTCAAGATACAATTGATGCTTATTTAAAACTAGATAAATCTTTAACTGACAACTTTCGTCTTCTTTAAATTTTATTACCTAACTCTTTATTATACTGTAGATATTTTTCGAAGTAGAATATCTACAATTTTTTTACGAAATAAACATTTGCAATTTTAGGTCTAGCGAAATATACAAATATATAAAGAGATACATTTTGTTGAAGATATTTAATTATAAAGGTACTTTAAACATATTTTGTAAGATAGAACTACAATGGTTATTATTATTATTATAATTGTAGAATATGCAACATTTATGCAAACTGTCCAAAAATATACAAAAACATGAAAAAAAAAAAAATAAAAATTTAACTATAGAATCTACATATTACGAAACGTCGAAATATATGATCAAAAATATTCTAAGTAAATTGTAGAATAATAAGAATTTGTATATAAATCTGGGCGTTGAATATCGCTGATAGAGGATTAAAAAAAAATGTTCGTTTCTAATTTTTAAATATGTAAAAAAAAAGGAAAATTCCATAAAAACGATTCCATTTCAGTTCAAACAACTTTTGTTTATCATTCGGATTAACAAGATTTGTTTATCGAGTATAGAACAAAATGTACCGATGAACGAGTCGTAACACTGATCACTGCAACGCCGGGGTAGGATATTTAGACGCAGGATATTTTAGTCACCAGTACTCGTTTGTGAACCTTGTAAATATGATAATACGTGCAATATATGAACGTAACGTTACAGCGCATGCTATACACATTTCACAGCTCAAATAGAGAGATAGATACACGTAAAGATAGAGATTAGGAGGGTGAGTGATAAATAGAAAGAAGGAAAAAGCGCTCAATCAAATAAGTGTATTACGTTTTGTTTTTACGGCGTCCGTAAACTCGGATACAACTCGCCTCCATCGAATTCCCTACGGCACTATAACTAGCGCGCATTCACTTATTCACTCGCATCTCGTTCTGTACGCACATCCACCTTTTGCCTCATCGCACCACCACAACCGATTGACGGTGTCGATAAGAACACTGAATACATCGATGGCGGAAGAGTTACACATTTGTACTCCGAAAGTATAAGTTCACTGCGAACCCGCGAGTGTGATCGTAAGAAATAAAACATAACGGGTAACATACCCCTACACACGATGATAATATACCTGCCGATGCGCTCGCAACGTAATACAATTTTTCTCGTTCGGTAACGTAGACGAATTAAGTACGCAATAAATGTGTTGTAGAATGCGAATCACGTACTTACGGATATCTTTGCATAAACGAGAAATATCACCTAGTGATCGTTCGAGGGAGAAGCGGCAATGGAAATATCCTTCTTCCATACCGGTGTCTATGTCAGGACTACTAGAAAACAAAATTTGGTATCAGAAATCCAAATCAATCGATTAGAATTGCAATCGCCCACATGGAATAGATAACTATCGATTGCATGCAATTGAAGAACACGAAAACGTTTGTGCGTGTATTGTACCGCGGGAAATCGAAACAGGGCACGGACATTTGTGTTTCTTAATTTTTTGCAATTATTCATTACAAGGATGTGTGATGGATTCGTTTCAAATGAGACCGAAAACAATGATCGCCCACCAGAATTAATAATGTGAACGCACTCGAAGGATGAGTGATTCGCACGCTACGAGAAATTACGATTATACAATCGCCCAAGGTTTGCATGATAGTAACGTGATAATCTGTTGTTTGCCAACTTCTCGACGACAATTATAAATATTAGTCACTTTATATGCACATCTAGCAACGAAAGCAAAAAAATCAGGTCATACACAAGCGCGTCGATGCAATATCGATCAATAATATGATAACATTAGGGACATAGAAATAGACAAAGAAATGTGTGCAGTTACAACCCTCAATGATTTCGGTCAAGTTTAATATTATATCACAATAATAATATTTAAAAAGATATAAAGAATAATGAAAAACTACATAACTGACACCACTGAATATTAAATTCGATATATACTATATAGAATAAATTAAAAAATTAAAACACTTTTTACGGTCGAAGAAGATTTATTTTTATTTTTTTTTCTAGTTGCTCATTAATAATTTACTGATAAAAAAATATACATATTGCAGTTTGAGCATAATACACCCCCCGATGAAAATGTTTTATGCACGCTCATGGACAGAAATCCTCTTCCAACTCCGTTCATCCCGAAAATGAAAATCGATCGTTAGCGTATTTTTACGTATCTGCGAACAGCCCTCGTTGGATATTAATTTTTTATTAAATTATAGTATTACTATTAATTCTTTCCGACTCGAATACAAATATTCAACGTACACGTACGTGTAAATATATAAGTGTTTTGTTGTGCTAGACTGGTGTAATATATTATAAAGTATTTGTCAGGTGCCAGTACAACTGTACAACAGTAGATGCGCTATACGGCTGTTGGGGTCCAGAATTTTAATTAAACAGTTCCGCGGGTTTGTCTTAGAATCCCCGCACGTTCAATCAACGGGACAAGCATGCGCGGTGGGTGGGCTAAGTCGAATCGCGTTCGCTTCGAGTCCACAGCAAGACGGGCTTAGACGTTCAATTTCAGCCACGTATGAGACGCGTGCCCAGTGCAGTGTACACGTATATGGTTTATATGAGCGTCGACAAAATCCCGACCATAAACCTCGCCTGGTCCTCCTACTCTTACTCCTGCTCCGACTCTTCTTCCTCTCCCTTGTTGTCGTCGTTATCCTATATAAGCTTACCATCACTATATAATATATATATATATATATATATATATATATACGTCTATGTATATTAACCCATGGCGAGAGGACGAAATCGGATTTCGGATCATTAAGCACGCAGGATATGTGTGTGTGTGTGTTTGTGTGTACAGACGATTGCTTTATCGCGGAGTTTGTGAAAACCAAATTGGTACGTACGTATACATACAGTATATATACGACTCCTTGTAAAAAGAATTGAACACACACGCGTGCCAGCACTGATGTGCACGCACTTTACTCGACTTCGGCGCACACACGAACGCGTGAAGGTGGACGTTTTCGTATTCCGGTGATGGTGCGTGTAGCTACGATGAGAGACCGGGGGAAGAAGAAGGGAAAAAAGGTCACACAATAATATAGATCGAATTTGTCGTAGGCGAGTGGGGGTGATTGAGAGAAATAGAGACGAAGATAATAAGGGAGCAGAGAGAGAGAGATAGAGAAAGAGGGAAAACGAATAAAGAAAAACGATGTGCGCGCGTGTGTGTGAATATATATACGTGTGTATCAAACAAATTGTATTGTATGTATATAAAAGAAAATAAAGGGGGAAAAAACACTTTTGGACCAACAATTGGCCAGCAGTCGATTTTACGGTTGTTAGACAGCCGCATTAGCCGTCCTGTTTATATGGGCAGAACGCGTACACACATATTTATACGACAAGTGCCTATATCTGCAGGAGCGAAGGAAAATAAGAAAAAAAAAATTAACTATATAGAGACTGAAAATAAACCATCGTGTACGTAATGACACCGCAAACGAGCATCTATACTGTGTTACATGACGTGCAATCGTGTAATATATTGTATATATTTAAATCAAATCGACGCATGAACAAAGCATTACGTATATAATAATATATCACTAATAATATATTGCTAAATTATTATTATCACACGATTAATGGTGTCGTGATCGTGATCGAACTGACACTAGATTGACATTTGATAGTGTAAAGGGAGCAATGCACCGAGGCCTTGAAGGCATGAAGATTCTTCAGATATTTATACGAGAAAGGTGAGTACCACGTAAAGGAATGGAAAAAAAATATGTTAATCATTTTTGTTAATACTTAATGTTACGAAATCATATTTTGATTAAAATTTCAACTTCGATTATACTTTTCAAAAGATTAAGGTTGTATTTGGACGGTGGAAAGAAAAATAAAACGTGTGAAAGTCGAAAAATTAATAAGTTGTCGAACCTTGATATTTTATTCAATTGCTCATATGTGAGCTTATAACTTACTATTATTTATTGCCTTTTACTATTTTCTTTTTAATACAAAAAATGATCCTTAACCATTCGCGACTTGAGCACCGTGTTAGATACCGTGTCCAAAGTTATCTCTTAGGAAATTAATTTTCAGCGGTATTGCTTATAATTGGAAAAATCGACGGGGAGAAATTAGCAAAAATTACAAGATAAACGTTCTCACAGAATCTGACTCGGGGGTTTTCAATTCATGACAGCTTTCAATGAAGTGTTATTCATAAAAACTAGGACGATATTTAGTCAACAACGTTGAATTACCGCTCGTCGACACAATGCAATCCGATTGTATAATGAAAATTATTATTATTATAAAAGTTATTTTTATAGTTATCACCGAAGATTTTAGTCCATTGCATTAAATAATTAAAATGAAAAAAAATCGA